TACGGTTTGAAACAAATTTAGCTTTTGATTGGATCGGCTTTCTTTTCAAAAATTTTGAATCCGCGAATCTGGGTTGGTCATCATTCATTATAGATAGGATTAACATAAAATACCTCTTTCCAAGAGAAAAAAAAATCTGTTGTTGTAGCAATATTGGCAATATTGTGTCCTTTGCCTTGGAACTTCAAATTTAATTCGTTCAAGTGTTGTGTCATATCAGTTAAAAATGCAAGATCAGCCAGAAATAAAGGATCTTGCATACAATTTTGCAGCTCAGAAGTGTCTGATTTTATTTCATTTTTTAGAAATAAAGGTATTTTTTTCGTAAAGCAAAAAAACGTTCAAGGCAGTGCGCCCAGCACTAAGCCATCATATTTTGGAATGTAATAACAAATCTCCATAGGTTACATCAATTTCACCTAAAAAATGTCGAAATTTTCCATGAGTCAAAGCTTTGTTTTCGCCTCTAATGAGATTTGTTATTCTAACAACTTTCATGGCATTCGTTTGGCGCAAAGATTTTCCACATATATATATGATGCGATGAATCAACGAGCAATTAATGCCATTTTCTTTCAGAAGTCCCGCGAATCCTGTCACTTTTCCCGTCATAGCTTTTGCTCCATCAGTTACAATGCAAGAACATTTTTAAAATCTTCCGTAGTCTATTACAGTTTTATTGAGAGCTATAAAGATATCAGCGCNAGTTGAATTAAAGAATAAATTTTTTTTTAATTAAAACCAGGTCAATATACAGGGTGTGTCAAATGTCTGGAATATAGCCAATAACAGACATAGTTATTGTTATATATATATATATATAGATAGTTAAATAGTTATTGGCTATATTCCAGACATTTGACACCCTCTGTATATTAAACATTGTTATAGTCCAACAATAGTCAACACTTTCCTTCTGTAGTTGTAAAACAAACAAAGACGGGGTTGCAACAGGTAGTTTCCCATTGTAGAATGCTGGGATTCCTTACTCAGGGCCGCATTAAAGAACACACTTTAGTTGCAAATTGTAGAAAAATAATAGGGTGATATATAAATACTCATTATTCTCTTATTTGATGTGTTTCTAATATTAAGTACATATTTTTTCTAAGAAATGTTTTGAGAAGGCATGCATTGTCTACTTACAAAAGAAGGCGGAGAATAATTAGATTCTTTAAAATTTTGTTATTCTATTATTTAGACATTCCTAAAAGTAATATTTTTTTCTAAGATTTTTATACTAGTTTTTATAATTAAATTTTAGTTGTTATAACTAAACTTTCGTTTTTTATTAAATTTTAGTTCTACCCTGTCCTTGTATGACTGTCATAAGTCTTTTCAGGTATTCGAGCGGGCAAAAATCACCCCGCCTTTTATTTATGACTGTCATAAAAACCGATCTGGATGTGGAAGAGTATACATCATGGTTGAATTCATATTTACATTAACAAGACGCCTAAATTCATTAAGGAAATAAAGTAACTTTCTGAGGGAACCTAATTTAAACTTAATTTACAATAAATCCTGAGGCATTTTTCTTTTAAGTCGCTGTTGCAAATTTTTAGAACCCAAATTAAAGTTAGTAGCACTGGAACACTTATTGATGTTTTCGTAAAAAGCATTACTCCACACTAGGCAAGCATAGGTGACCAAAGATCTTATTAAAGCTTTGTATAGTATCATAATACAGTTTTCTGATGACCTTTTCTATTTATTACAGGAACTAGTTATTTCAATCGAGCATATCCCAAATTTAATCTGTTGTTTAAATGAATACCCCAATTTAATCATTCATCAAGATGCAGGCCTAAGTATTTGACAGTTGTGTCTTTAGGATTCCAATGATGTTCTTTACGACGTAACGTAAAGATCTTAGATTCACATTTATCTTCAATTCAGGTGTTAGGACCATTTAGTATGCCATTTCTCTCGTTAATAGCATCTTGTAGCTGTTTTATAGCTTCTTCCAAATCACTACCTTGGGTCATAATCAACATATCGTCAGCAAATAGAGCTTTTTCATTGCATCTTTGGCATGGTATATCATGCATAAATATATTAAATAAGGTTGGTCCAAACTGAATCAAAAGCTTTAGCTAGATCCAAAAAGGCAATAGTGGTTATTTTCAAAACCTTTCTCAATAAATTCTGTAACGCAGAATTGGTGAATCGCTGAATAACCCGTTCGAAAACCAAACTGTATGTTTTCTGATAACATTTCTTTCCAGCAGCTGATCTTAAAGTATTCGCATTATAACTTTTTCAAACAATTTTGAGATAGTCGGTAAGAGGCCGACTGGCTTGTTCCTGGCCAAGTTTCTGTTTCTGTTTTCCTGCCTTGGGAAACATTAGTATCTCAGCTTTTTTCCAAATCATCGGAAAGTAACCAATTTTTAACTATGAATTGAAGACATTAGTTAAGTGGCTAGTAATATTCGAAGGGAGGTGTTTTAGAATTATATTTGGTATAAGGACATGCCCTAAGGCCTTTCTATTGTGTAGATTGGCAATTAAATATCTGATTTCTTCATTTGTTACTTCTTCATCTACTCTTTCTGATTCCCTTCATGGGTAATTGTAGGATTTCTTCGTGTCTTCTCAGTATTTTCCTGTTGTTATCCACATTCCTGGACCTTTGTTATTCATATTGCTGAGAAGATTCTGATAATTAGCAATCCGATGGGATTCTAAAGCTTTGGTAATGGTATGACTTAGTTTATGTAATTTCTGCTTTAAGTCAGAATTTTTTGCCAGTTACAGTCTCTTTTTTCAGTCTGACCCCTCTTTTTTCTTTGATTAGGTCGAGAATATACTTATGTGGTAAATAATAATTCGTTCGAATAGTTCTGTTAGGTTTAATAAACTTTCTGGTAACATCTTTGATTCTCGAAGTAAGTAATGAGATTGACCTATGTATTGAGGTAGTATTCAAAAATGAATTTTGTAAATTAATACTGCTTATCTCTGAATCAAAGGCCTCCCAATGTACAATTCCATTTATCAATTTAGGAATAGGGGGTTTAAAGGTAATTTCCTTTTCGACAGAATTCGATCAAAATTCAATTCCTCTATGACCGTTTGAGTTAAAGGAAGATTAAAGTTTTTAGTGATAACTATATCCAGTATGTCAGGTAGATGATTGGATTGTCTCTGTATGGATAATAGGTATATGAGTTTAGTGTGTGTATTTACATCTGATGAAAACTTGATAATTCTTCTAGACATGAACCTGATGGATTATCAGGTGGTAAGGTTTGTGTTTTGAGAGTTCCGGTCAAATCTATCGATATTAAAACAAGGTATTTGGAACTCTTCTCCCAGAACTAGTTGAGTTTCGGTGATACATGCTAAATCAATATTATAACGAGCCAAAAAAGCCGATATTAAATTCTTCTTCTTCAGAACATTCACATTAAAGTTTAAAATAGTAATGTTTTGATTTCGTTTATGGGGAGATTAGGTATGTGAAAAGGAAAGGAAAAGAATAATTCATTCAATAAGCAATTTTTAATAGGATCTATGAATTGAGTAGTGATAGTTCTTCTCACCTGACGTGGATGAAGTTGTTGTAGTTCAGTGTGGGTGCGACAAGCTCTGTAATTGGCTGGATGTTGGCTCTTTTTCTTTTTACAATCCTTAGGATTATGCTCCTCGCCACATTTAACACATTTGGGTTTTAGTGAGCAATAATTTTTAGTATGACCAGAACGTTGACATTTAAAGCATTTTTTTCCTCGGCTCTACTGTAATATATTTCTTTGATATTAAAATGTCATTGGGTTTTTCGTTGGGAGTTAATTCAACCGCACATAATAGCAAGAAGTTTAGCTTTGTTTAATGCTCTTGTAACACTAATGGGGCTGTTACCGTCAATCGAATAGTCCGTTTTTCAAAAAATCGATAAACTATGTAAAAATAGAAGGATTGGTAATATTTTCAGATCCTAAAATTGTTTAATTTTTGCACTAATTAATATTATAATTCAAAATCCCCTCTATAAAAGCTTTGGTGACGTTTACGAGGTTTTCGCGTAATATTAAGAAGACACAAACGTGCATCGTTCGGATCTCTTCTTCTAGCGTATAAGATTCTCGTGGCATCTCGTTCATGCACCTTTTATTGATTTTTATTTCAACCAACCGCGTGCAAACGACGGTGACGTCTCCAAAGTTTTTTTTTCAAATTTTCATTATTTTTTTTTTGGAAAAACTAATAAAGCCCAGTTTGAAAAACAAAAAATTATAGAATTCTTCAATTTTGCTAAACTATTGAATAAGCCAATAAAAAAATGTATAGGGTAATGAATAAGTTGTCAATTCATCTTTTATTTCAATGTCTGAGAGAGATATAGGAACATCACGCAACATTACGGCTGAACTTCTCTTTGTTGGATCGTGGAAGGTATGAAATTCAAGTTTTTTCTCTTTATAATATTTAGTTAAAGTTCTTGCTTGATTTTTTGTGAATTATTTTTGACAACAGTTGTAAATTTTGCAGTGATTGACGCTTTGATATCATTGATAATTTCTTTATGGTTTGATTTATTATGTAGAAAGATACGAGGTACTTTAGGGCTTTTTTGGGAATTGTTTTCCAAAGAGTTATTTATATCATCACTATTGTCTTCACTAGCAAGAACATGGAACCTATTTTACGTTAAGAAATCTAGATTAAAAGAAGATCGTTTATGTCATCTTCTTTCTAGAGGTGATAACTGTTCGAAATTCAGTCGAAAACACGCCCCTTGGCGGCTTTCCTTAAATATATTTTCTTTCGATGATTTATTATTTTTGTTAGATTAATAATAATATATAAAATTGTAAACACAGTTGATTTCTTGAATCAAAACTCTTTATGAAACTCGCAATACTTGTTTAGAACTAAAAGGAACTACTAGGAATAAATTGATTAAATAATAAATGGGTTTTTAATTACTAAAACTAACTATATTCTGTTTCACATAAATTACAAAATGAATTAAAAAAAATTAAAGCTCTTAAAGACTTAGTTTTAAAAAATTAGAATGCATATCTCGTTCTGATGTCTTCAAGTTTCTTTGAAACTTCCGCTGGGGTCCTTTCAAGATCTTGAGCAATACTTTTTTGTTTATTAGGATCTAATGAGTTGTACTGTTCGCAGAGGTCTCCATCAATAACGTTCTAAAAATAATAATAATAATCAAAGTAATGTTTCCAAGTACAAACAAAAAAAATTAAAATGTTTAAAAAATCAGAACGTATTATTAACCAAGTTATAAAATCATAAGTCTAGCATGTTAATAAATATATCATCACTTCAATAAATGATACTAAAAAGGATTAAAATTATAATTATACCTTAACAGGGAAATAATAACTTCTAAATGATAAATGATCCCGCCCGCAAAGCGGTGGATTTTCACTCCTCATATGCATTTCCAAATGTTGGAAAAAATCGTGATCCTCATGTGAAGTAAACGGCACCAAAACACCAACCGTACCAGAAACGGTTGTATAAATCAATGATTCCCACCCTCCAGGAATCAAGGTAGCTTTTTGTAACCACGTCACCGTCTCTCCAACATGAAAAGTAGCAACATTATCGGCTTTTTGTGACGCCCCATTTAGTAATCCACGATCCCAAAGTGCTTTATTTCCTGTGGGGTCTTCATCCACATCATCACTACTATTTGGAGGTAATCTCACTATTGATATGTTTCCAAATTTATCAGCGCACGCGACTGTGTCATAATCTAAAACGGAGGTGCATGTAATCCATCTTGGGTGAGTATCATCAGCAAAAATAATCAGTTGATTTTCAGCACGTTTGTAGCGAATCATGTAGATTGATTCTTGGACGTCGGAAACGTAAATGCGTTTTCCCATCGCTTGGATATCGATTATTAAATTGGGGATGTGCTAAAAAAAATAATACAATTAATTATAACATTTAAAAATCGATTAAAATAAATTAATTTTGTAGTTTAAAAAAATCAGCACTGCAGGATTTCATCAATAAACATTAAGAAATATGTAATTGTCATCATTTTAGTGAATTAAAATTTTGGTATAACAAATCTTTATGTTTTTTTACCTTATTTTCACATTTTCGTAATAACTTCATTTTCCCCAGATCATACATTCTCAATATTTTCCCAACCCCAGCTAATAATCGCCCATTATACGAACACAAAGCGTATGGAACTTCATCAAGAGGCGTTTTATGGACCAAATCTAATTCTCTGCAATTCATATCCACTTTGTAAGTGTTCAAAAAACCACTGTTGCATTGTCTCGGATTTAATTGAAAATCTCTTGCGACTCCCACAACTAAAAACCATTGATGTTCTGGTTGACCGTGGAATTTAATTAGGGTTAAACACATTGCGGCTTCGTTTTGTTCTAATCTTAACATTTTGTATAAAGTTCCCTAAAATATAAAAAGAAATAAGTTTAATTAATGTTTGAAAATTTAAAAAAAAATTTGTTGAGTTATTTTTTTTAAATAAAAATAAAATGTGCCATGACTTGGAAACCAAGAAGCTATAAAAGACCTCTTGGGACTATGTACACGCACTATTTTCTTGGACACGATGTTAATTATGCATTATCTTAATGAATAATTATTAAATAATCACGTCCTTAATTAATTAAAACAAAAAAAAATAAAATTAACTCACTTGTACAGGATCCATAATCCTTAACACAGACGCCCACATTCCATGCCCAGCTTTAGGCGCTGAAAAAACATTCTCAGGTAAATCTTCATTCAAAAACGCTTCAGCCATTTCTTTGGCTAACTCTTGTTCCTCTTCTCCAGCAGCTTCTTTCATTTCTTCGGCCATCTGCAATCGCCTTTGTTTTTTAGTTTCTTCAGTGTATGCGTTATGTTCAGTTTCCAACATAATTAAGGTAGAAGTTTCTGGATGGATAACAAATTTCCTTGGGGTATATTCCAACGGAAACGAAATCTGATTGAAAACAGCTCCAAGTTTTTCTAAAGCCAAAATTCTTAAAGTGTTTGTTGATATCGCCACAATTCCTTCAGGACATTGTTCAGAACTAAATCCAGACGCGTACTCCAAACTTTCATAAGATAACGGAGTTAAATAAAATCGACTTTGATAATAATAACTCAACCAAGATCGCGAACTCATCGCCAAAACAGCTTCAGATTTTTGCATTCTTATTCGAAACAATTTAACCGGTCTTGAACCCAAATATCTTGTACGCGTATCTGTTAAATTTCCCGTTACAGGATCGAGAACGGTTCGTAATAAAGCCCCATTTTGAAGCCCAATGTTTAAGTATAAAGAACTTGCTGTACTTGCAGCAGCTGCATCTTTCGGATCGTTTTCTGTACAACCCATTTGTACTATACAAAGAGATTCTGGACAAACTGGTAAAGCTTGCATTGATCTTTGTGATAAACAATCACTTGGATCTAACGAAATTATTTTTACGGTGTTATCAGCTAAACCAACCGCTAAAAACCATGAACGTAATTCTCCAGGAGCTACATTCGCCAATGCCATACAAACTACGTCGGTGTTCATTCGTTTGCGTTCTTTGTATTCTTGAAGTTGTCCAGTCTAAAACACAAAATAAGAATTCAATAAAGGAGTTATATTAACCATGAGAAACGGGAATGAGTCATCGCTTTTAATCATTATTAGCTATATGAATAGTGTTGTAGAAAATAGCAATGGTGATGGCTCATAATATCAGACTTCTTGGATAAAGAATGACTTAGTACAGCGTTTTCCAAAGTGTGGGCCAAAAATTGTAAAAATACAAAAAAATTTTTTTACATCAGTTAATCAACAAAACCAGCAATGATGATTAAATGATGATCAACCAAGTACAAGCAAAGCTAAACATCATGATCATGAAGATACTTTCTCTGAAGCCCCTAAAGAAGATATACAGCGCCAAAACAACAAGCGTAAAGCTATTGGACTCGCAAATATAGTGACGAATATGTATGGTTTAGATCCATTGCCGGTGGCAGTCAAAATAATTTGCCTCTAAGGAATAGGGCCGTTAAGGCCAATCGATTAGAAAGACCGTCTTTCACAAAATTGATAATCTAATTGTAAATTAAATTAGACGGATTAGTAACGTTTTCACATTCGAAAATTGTTTAATTTTTGCAATAATTAATGTAAAAGTTTAAAATTCCCCACCCCCGACTCCAGATGACGTTTTAAGTAAGAAGAAAGAAATCACAGACGTTCTATGTTTTGTAGGTAATTACTGTTTTCTTCTAGCGCATAAGATTAGTACCATTGTCTCTCACCAGGAATTTTATTGATTTTATACGCTCCAATCGTACGCTCAAATTTGAGTGACGTACTTTGGAGTTCGCGCCCTGTAGTTACAAACTTTTTTTTTTTTTTTTTGAAAAACTAAGCCTCAGAATCAAAAATTAAAAAATATAGGGTCAATCAATACTTAACGACCCTATGATGGCTATTCAAAAAAGAATGAAAAATGCACTTTCCAGCTTTGACAGCTTTTGAAATTTCTAAATTAATAGCTGAGATTGGGTATCCTCATAGTGCTGGAGAACAATTAATACTTCCCGCTTTAAAAATTGTCGCAAATAATACAGGGTGTGTATCAGGTGTGAGTAGAAGAAATTTGAGAGGTTATAGGTCTCCTCTTTCTGAATAAAAAATTCTTATAACACAATGTCCCATTCTTTGTCCTTCTTAAGATATGATACGATAAAGTTATGGGTTCACAAGTTTGAGTACTACTGGTAAATGAATTATACTAAGCAGGCAGTGATAAAACAGAAGTGATAAATTTATTCGTATAAAGTAAACAACCTCAAAAATGACTTTTATGTGTCAAATTAATGCTATATACATAAGAAAAGTCTGCTTAGTATAATTCTTTATACAGCAGTACTTAAACTTTCAAACCCTTAACTTTATCGTATCATATCTTAAAAATGGCAAAGAATGGGATATTGTGTTATAAGAATTTCTTATTCACAAAAAATACAAAAACAAATAAAAAAAATCATACAAAAACAACCTCAGATGAGATTTTTAAGCTTACCAATGATTTTGTCACAGGGTGATTATACAGGGTGTGTTAAATGTCTGGAATATAGCCAATAAATAACTTCGCCATTTGCGGTTTTAAAGAAAAATGTTTCAAATACAAGTTATTTTATTAATCGTGGCGCATTTTTTGGCGATATTTGCTTGTTTGTATTGTTTTTGTTTCGTTGCTATGGCAACCAACATTATTATTTTAAATGGGATGCATATATTTTTTTGCACACTTTGATAGAGGATAAATTCCTCTATACAATGAACATATCAAATCAGATGGTTGTATAAAAAATAAATCGAAAAAAAAACGCGTTTTCTGAAAATATTAAATCAACAAATTACAATCAAATTAGGTGCCGAAATAACGCCGTTGACAACTTTAAATGTCAAAAAAAATGAGTTTCAACAATTATGAATAATTAATAATGTATGGGTGCGGTGACACATTTATGCATCCCATTATTATTATTATTTAAAATAATAATGTTCGTTGCAATAACAACGAAACAAAAAACAATGTACACAAGCAAATATAGCCCAAAAGTGTGCCACAATTAATACAGAATTTTTTATTTGAAACATTTTTCTTTAAAACCACAAATGGCGAAGTTATTGGCTATATTCCAGAGATTTGACACACCTGTATGTATTGATTGGATGAAGTGCGTTAGTGTAAGTAGGGATAGAGCATATGCAATGGCAACCTGTCATAAAGGTTTTTTTAAACAAAGTCAAAAATTAGCCATTAATTGTGTGTAACAGTGTTTGGGTCCACTGTAGTATCCAGACAAGCGTTGGCGCTAAAACGCTTGCCTTTAAATTTAAATAACTTTAGAAGAATGTGTCAAGTTTGTAGTAAAGTACATAAAATTTCGTCCATTAAATATCAGACTATTGTATTGTAATTCACGGTGGCTTTCAAAAGCTGTGTTATTTCTGAACTTAACACCTACCATCTAAAAAAGATGCTATTTTTCCATTTAAGGATAGATTCCACGATTTCGAGTGGTTAATAAAAGTAGCATATTTGTGCGATATATTTGTTGCTACATTCAATGAATTCAATTCATTAAATTTGCAAGGCTTTGGTTTAAATATTTTTAAAGTATCGGAAAAAGTCGCTGCAATAATTAAAAAATTACTCTGTGGAAACAAGAACTTTCAAAAGGGCATTTCAAATCTTTTGGAAACCCATGCAGTTTCAATTCAAGAACATCTTTCTATCAAGAGCTAATAAATAGTTTTAAAGACTACATTCAAGATATTCCTTCAAATAATATGTGGATTAAAGATCCTTTTTCTGTCGAAATTGAAAAGGAACAAATGTTTAATTTTAGTGAACAAGAAGTTGATAATTTAATTGTAATTTCATGCGACACCAATCTGAAAAAAGTGTTTGAAACCCTACCACTAATTAATTTAAGCGTACGCGAAAAAGTGAAACAATTTTTAATTTGTCACCACTTATACGTGTGAAGCTGCGTTCTCAGCCTTGGTGTACTTAAAAAATAAGTATCAAAACAGATTGGATGTCGAACCTAATTTGAGAATAAAGTTAACATCATTACCTCCTAATTTGAAATTGTTATATGATGACAAACAACATCATCCTTCGCAATAAGGACAAAATATGTGAAAACAAAAAACTTTACTTCAATAAATAAATAAATAAAGTTTTAAATGAATACGATTGTTAATTTTTTAATTACTTATATTTTTCCCTGTCTAATGAAAAAACGCTTAGAGATATCGTCATGAACCGAAACACGTCAATTTTTATTTTTTGTTAAGCCCAATAATTTAGCATGAAAAATGAGTCAACTTTGTTTTTTTAATGGAACACCTAGATATTATAACATTTTCTGATAGCGCTAAAAAATACTAATCCAATGATACCTCACAATCAAATATTGATTAATTAGTTTTAATGATATTAGTTAATAAAAATTGGGAAAATCGCAGCGCGCGCAACTTTGGAAATGGAGCGTACATCTTAGATTTTTCGCAGGACAGTCGACCACAGTCCATATATCTGTTGTGTGGTCGACCAAATAAAAGTCAACAGCCGCAAGACTGCGTATCGATATCCATACCGTTCGTTATTTACTTGGTTGCCTGTCCTGTGAGAAATCTAAAAGGTACGCCCCACCTACAAAGCTACGCGAGCCGCATTTTTCTCGAATTTTTAATAATTAATATCATAGAAACTAATTAACCAATTTTTGATTGCGAGGTATCATTGGATTCGTATTTTTTAGATCTATCAGAAAATGTTATAACATATAGGGTGTTCCATGTAAAAAAACAAAGTTGATACATTTTCTGCAAAAACTAAAAGTGATAAACAATTTTTTATGCTAAATTATTTGGGTTAACAAAACATAAAAGTCGACGTGTTTCGGCTCATGTCGATATCTTCAGCCGTTTTCAAATTAGACAGTGTTACATAGGTAGTTACATATGACGTGCCCTGTATAACTATTTTGCAATTTTGGTGTATGAAATAAAGTTTATTTCATGTTATTATATTATTATATATTATATTCATTTGTTTATTTAATAAACAAACAAATAACTTGATTTTTATTAAAAAATAAAATTTGTTTTCTAAATAGTTATTTTTTCATAAGGTGGGTCGCGAAAAATTTTAAAATTTCGTACTGGGCCGCGGACAAAAAAGTTTGAGAAACGCTGACTTAGTACATAAATAACTATAATCTACTTAAGCCCTTCCTATGTTCAAATCTTTTATGATAATGATGAGTCATTCACGTTTCTTGTGATAAAAACTACATTTATAAATATTTAAATGCGCAGAGATAAAGTGAGTTAAATTAGATCTGTTAGATCTTGATTCACTCCAGTGGAACATTTATAAGAATCCAACGGAGGCGACAAGATAAAAATTAGTCTTGCATAGTATTAAATCTGGATGACCAAAGTAAAAATGGGGACAACCAGTAGTTATACCTATGCTAAATCAAATCATCCCTTATTTAAAAAAAAAACTTACTGGGTCCATCTCAAAATAAACCAACTCCCCACCACTTAAGGCAATGACAACTTGACGCTGATTAACTGCGCATTTCACAATAGTCTTTTTACCAGGAGCTTTCCATTCATTAACGTGTTTATTGGCGCAAATATGTCTTATACCATCTGGATACACCTATTTAAAAAAAATACAATTTTAAAATATTAATTTTTATTAAATAAAATTTAACATTACCTGAACTAAAGCATGATCTGCTAAAGACGAACAAGAGAGTGTTGGGGTTGTTCCCAAAAACCCACTATCAGTGACTTCTTCAACAGTTTCTCCAATCGATAAAACCAAGGTAGCATTGACAAAAGACACAATGATGTAGGCATCATATTTGTCTGTAACAAAAAAGATCAGAATGAAAAATACCGATCCTTCTTTTAATTGATTAAAAATCTGTTCGTTTTAATTTTTTCAGTTTTGTAGATTTTAATCATTAAGATCAGGTGAAACACGGACAAAAATCTCATCATAAAACCCTCATTGACTCCTTTCTTTTTTCTTTCTTTATTAGGTCGATTCTTTTTAAACCTACCTGTTTTTATGGACTCGCCAAAATTAAATCGTCAGGCATTTCTGAAATAAGAAAAAACTGGTGTTGATAACGGTAACTTTCAACAGCCCAGTTTTTATTAATCTTTTTCTTTCAAATTTTAACATAATAGTCATAAATAACATCAAAAGTATTAAAATAAAATTAATTACTCACCATCACTTCTTCTTTTCACGGTCCACACAGCATTGGGATTTCCAGGAAGTTCGGAAACGGCCATTTCAGAAACTTCTAAGCCATGCCGAAGAACGCGTAACGAAGATCTTGGGCCTCTACCACATAACATATATAATTGAGGAGTATCTTCTCCAGCTAAATCAGCTACTCTACATGATAAAATCGGGGAAAGCGATTCCAATTCATCTACCAAGACCAAATTTCTTAATGGGCGGGGTGCAAAGAAGAATGTGTCACCTTCTTCAAGAGGCATTGCTGAGCTGAATTCTAATTCGTCATCATCATCTCCCAAATGGGCAATTTGATAAAGGTAACTATCAAAATAAAAATTTATATTAAAACCCTCAAAAATATGAATTAAAAATTTTTTTTTGTTTTCAGATAAGATCAAAGCTTTTATTAATCATCGCCCAAAAGCTAAAAGCTCTCAAAGGCTCGCTTCAATTTTTCTCATCATAAATATTTTTAAAAAAAAATCCCCAAATTAATACTTACTGGTTACCAAATTCACAAGCGACAAATAAAAATCCAGTTTTCATAACACACATTGATGTAGCAACAGGAACGGTATCGAAATATTTCAATTTAATTTCTGTAACCATATCATCATCAACTTCCAAAGTAATTTTAAAAATATCCCCTTGTTCCGTTTGAGCAAGAAAGAAAAACATCGATTTTGTTTTATGCGTAGCTGAGCAAACAAAAATCATCCCCCTTTCGGGGTCATCAAGATCGTTTCTTCTTCTTGGGATGGGACATCGAATATCGGGTTGATCCCCCAAATTTTTGTAGGTTAAATAATTTTCAGAACAAATAAGTACCCCGGAAGGGCCATCGTTTCCACCGGGGACAGAAACTAAGAAATTCGCATGTTCTTCTAGCGGCTCAGAATATTTTCTCACAACGTGATTAAGACCCAAATCTAATTCGTAAAACGTTAATGTTTGTTGAGTTTTTTGTGCCGCTTCGCCTGTTGGATCAGAATCGGCTTCTTCATAATCGATTTCTAAACATGCAAACATCGGATTTTCGTAACCTACATCAATCCCAACCATGTGATAAACCAAAGTGTTACTTTTATGGGCTTCTAACGGAGATGAAATTGTTAATCGAGCCTCTGCATCTCGATTTAAGATATAAACCAATTTTTGTTTTTCTATGGCCCCGATCATAACAGCACGTCCTTTCGGATCGATCGCTAAATATTGACCGGGAACGATTCGTCTGCATCCTGATTTACCAAACGTTTCTTGATGAATCTTTTCAAAACAATTTTTTAATGGGATGTATTCCAAGATAACAATACGCCCGGAATCGGAACCAACGACAATGTAATCTTTGGTACCTCCCGTTAATCTGAACGCAATTAACGATCGGATTATACCGAAAATTTCAACTGTTAATAAAGTGTGTACTTTTCCTGTATTTACATCGGGACGAAGCAATTCTATGCTTTTACCCCTTGAAATTATGATCTCTTGGGTTTTCGTCCCGGAAAAATTGCCGTGTATCGCATGGGTTATCGCGGTGGCACGTTGTAATGTTAAATTATAGAGGAACATTTTATCCTGCAATAAAAGATAACTTAAATTTAGTAAAAAAATTGGAATATCCCCAACACTTGTTTTACAAGATTTCGCTTTTACACAATTTATAAATTGACAAATTTCAAAAAACTAGTAAAAATGTATATTCCGCTCCATATGCGCCTATACAATTTGATTTGATGGCATTTTTGATTTTTTTTCCTTTGGTACACCGATGAAGAAAAGAACAGGGGATTCCCGGGGTTGTAAAATATATACATTTAGGGGAATCCCGGTAATTTGTACGTATGTATTTCACAACAGTAAAGCTATTTGGTTCATGCAAGTACATAGTACGAATTATTTTATCAGCAAAGCTTATATTATTGTGCTTATTTTTTGAAGTAGTAAGTTTTTAATATTCTATAATGTCAAAGAATATGAAGAAAAATGAAATGAAAAGAAGTTATTTCTTTGGAAACTTAAACTCAAATATTAGACCGTTTACATAATAGAGAAAGAGTAACGGATGTTGTTAAATTTTACTCCATGAATGAAGCCACAATAAGAAAAAATGAAGCTCTATCAGAAAAAGTGTAGCAGCTGCAACCTATAGTATGAGTACGATTTCATATGTTAGAGATGTTACCATGAAAAATATCGAAAAAGCGTTAGTGATACGGATAGAAGACCAAACTCAAAAGCGAATCCAATGCTGTTACAAATAAAGCTTTGAAGATTTATCAATCACTTCAGAATCAGTCGCCGTCGATTTCACCCGGTGACAAGATTTCTTTTTCCGCAAGGTATAGGTGGTTCAAAAGATTTAAACAAAGACATTCTTTACATAATCTGAGAATGAAAGGTGAAAGTGCATCTGCTGATTCGGTTGCAGCACAATAATATCCGGCAAAATTTGCTGAAATCATTGCCACTAACTCCTACACTTAATAATAATAATAAACTTTATTTTTCGCACTGTATACAGGTATTCAGAAATTGGCGGATAATCTACACGTAGCAACATTCTTCGTTCGATTCTAAAGCGAAAAGCTTAATTCTATAATGTTGTATCATGCTTTCACGAGGTTCTCAAAGGTCGGATAATTTGTCCATAAATATTCAATATCTGTTGATAAATAAACGGTAATTTAGAATAAAAATAATTTTGAAAACTAGTTGTTTTGTTAAAGTTATTTTCTGTAGCTTTAAAGTTCGTTTTTAACATTGTAACGCTACGTGTAGATTATCCGCGAATTTCTGAACACCCCTGTATATAAAAGAAAAAAAAATTTACAAAAACAAAGATAATACAAAAAGAATTAAATCTAAATAAATTAATGCGAAAAAAAAAGGCGCGGCTTCGTCCAACACATAATGCCACACGATTTTCAAACCGAACCCATACAGAAAAAAGAAAGAAGAGCAAGAAAAGTCGCAAGTCGAAGTTTCGCAAGTTTCAAAAGTTGAAACTTCTGATCAGGTTTTCAATTCTGACGAGTCCGGATTATACTAGAAAAAATTGCCGGAAATGAATGCTCATAGCCAAAGCTCACAAATCAGCTAGTTGTCATAAAGTAAAGAAATGTCATATGTTTTTTTTTGTTGCAATGCTTCATGCGATTATATGATGATTACATGACCATTGGTGATCAACAAATCAAAATCACCACGCTCATTCAAAGGAAAAAACATCAAAAACCTTCCCGTATATTAGTTGCGTACTTTTATTGACAAAGACGATTTTTCGATGAAGTGCAGGATTTTCTTCAAACTTTAGCAAAGCCTAATCTGAGAAGTTTCCGCCTGGGGCAGTTTTCTGGGTGGATAGAGTAGTTTTAGTAACTGTCACTGCCAAGCGCAACCTCGGATAAAGGAGAAGGGTTGGTCCATGGGCTAACAACACATTACTAGAAAAAAGAATTATTACGAAACCTTCAAAAGCAAGTTTCAAAATCTTCTTTTGCTACAAGCAGGAATATGGTTATCAGTTCAACATAAGTCTCATATAAGAATACACATAAAGATACCTCGATATTTTCAGATGAACAGAATAATGATGAGCAGAATAAGCATATAAGTGATGAGTTTTAAATATCTTGGCTTCAATATTACGAGCAGCAGGAGCCTCCAGGAAGAAGTTATAGGTCAGAAACGAAAGGAGCTTTGATATTAAGTTACCTGAGGGACATAATTATAGCAAAGCAAGTATATGTCTCTAGAAAGCAAGGTCGGCATATACAAGAGTTATGACATACGTGACAGAGACAAGAGCAGAAAATTCTACCATAAAAAAAAAATCAAAACAGTGGAGCTAAAGGTCACTAACAGAATACGCCATAAAAGAAATGACCAAGACATTGTACAAGAAGACGAGAATGGAGAGAGCATGTTGAGAGTGTGCAAGCCTCAAGACTACCAACGATAGTTAAAGATGGACTCCCAAAAGCAAACAGACCGGAAGGAAATTGTGAAAGCATCATGTATTAAAAATATATGAAAAGAGGAATAAATAAAATAATGCAAGGAGTGAGACCAGAGAAAACATGGGAGGAGACGATTAAGATTGATACAAAAGAAATGCTAGTATGCAGAAATTAGAATAGAAAAACAAGAGATAGAAAAGTATAGAAACTAAAATTCAAGTAAGCTAAGGTTCGACTGCGAATTGAAGTGCTATTCCAAAGCTCACAAATCAGCTAGTGGTCATAAACTACCGAAAAGTCGTATAACAATTCTTTTCTGTTGTAATGCTTCGGGGGCCATTATATGACGAACTCATTGATGATTATCAAATCAAAAACACCACGCTCATTCAAAGAAATAAACATCAAAAAACTTCCCGTCTATTGGATGGCTAATAAAAAAGCATGGGCCACTCCCACAGCTTTCAATTAATGGTTCCATAACCTCTTTGTTCCTGATGTCAATAATTATTTGACTAATAAGGGATTGCCGTTTAAGACTAAAGTCGTTTTGCGTGGATTTCACATCTTTAGCGGGAAGCGATTAAACTCGTTTTGCATGGTATTGATGCCCGCAACACGGTAATACTTTGGCGGCAAAGTTCCCGCGCAAGATGGGTTAATTGATTATGCTCCAGGTCATCCTCTAGATTTACAATACGAAAATGTGAAGTTGTTTTTTACCGAAGAAATCAACTTCCTTATTACAGCCGTTAGATCAAGAGATCATTTCAACTTTTAAAGCACTGTATGCAAACTGTCAGGTTTATCTTACGATTAGAACAAAGAAAGAATGATGAATATCTTAATATGATGGATGCTTGGAAGAAATTTACAATTTTAGATCGTGTTAAGCATGTTGTACTTTCATACACTTAGATCAAACAATCAACGCCTGCTGGAAAGCAGAATGGCCAGATGTTCTTGAAAGCGGAAATGATGAATCACCAATAGAGCATGAATATTCATAGATCACTGAGTTGGCCCATACCATAGGAGGAGAATGTTTTGAAGATTTAGCCGAAGCAAATATTGAAGAAATAATAGCTGATGAAGAACTGAATGAAGATAATTTCATTAACATGATTCGTGAAACAAACATGATGAAGACAATGATTTAGATGAAGAGTAATCTGAACAAGTTGCGTTCACAACAAAAATCATAAGCGAAGGACTTGAACTGGGAAGAAAATTGGACAACCATTTCATACAATATGACACAAATGTTGATCGAACTCTAAAATTCTGGCAAGACCTTCGTAATCAATATGAAGAAGTCTATAAAGGTTTAGCAAAAAAAAATACGCAATTTTGAGTTTTCCAAGATGTCTTACTGTTGTTTTACTTAAATAAATAACTGAATCACGCACATTTTGGGTTTTCTTTTCGTTTTACTTAGCAAAATGCAAGATTACAATTTACACGGTTTTGTGCAGAACATAATATCTTTCGTGTAAATCAGGAAATAAGTGTATAGGCAACCAATTTGACATGTATTTTTTGAGGTTATGTACATAATAATATTCTTGGGTGTAAAATCGATTAATAAATAGAAAATGTTGTGAACTTTATACCAAGAACTCAAATATATCAAAACATTGAGTTCTAACGATGCAGTATTCACAAACAATCTAGCACAGAAAAACGACCTATACGTACAGTTTACGTAGGTATAGGAGATACCCTAGTGCATTTACAAATAAAATATAACTTTAATAATAAATTTAACAAGAAATTAAATGTAATTATGCTTACCTCTAGTTGTGATGACGATTATTCAAGGATATAAAATTGGATAATCAGGAAAATGCCAGATGATACTTGTTATGGCGTCATCCACATGGCATTATGGCGTCCCGGTATTTTTGCGGTACACAAAAAAATCAATGATTTTTTTTAAATGGGAAATAAGCGTGGTGTTTTGGTTCACATTTTAGGAAGTTTGTTTTATAAGGTTTTTATCAATAAAAATGGAAAAAACGTGTAGTTCTTACGAGGTTATGAAGAAAAATGATTCTTTGCGCGCCGCTTACGTTTGATAGAGAATCACACAGAAGTACCAAAGAAATTTGTAGAGTGCGCGCATGCGCACAAATTATTCAATACATTATAAGAACAATTTATTGATTTTTTGTTTTTATTTATTTAAAAATTGTATCTTAATCGGTTGTTTATTGTATTTAAAGCAATTCTTTGTAAATATTGTTAATAAATAAATTATTAATAACTTCAAGTTGGGTGCAGCTTTGACAGATATTTGTGAGAAGTGTTCGATTAATCAGATTTACTTTTTATTACAGTGTACAAAAAATGTGTTATATTAAATTAAATTTAGATTTAAATATTATTACAACACTATAAACAACAAATAACACTGTTTATATATTATTTATAACCATGTTATTTGGTTGTAATAAATTTTAGAAGTTATATCTGCACAACAATGTAATTGTAATCAATTATTTTATTAATTATTTATTATTGTTTATTTTCGGCTTATTTATTATAAAGAACCTCCTTTTAAGGTTTGTTGTGATATAAATCCTAAACATTTATTAAATTAATTTAATTTATTTGAATAATAATGTGCCATCTATTAGACAATAGTTCCACTGATTGTCTCACACGTATCATACAGTACATTTATAATACATAAATATAAAAACAACAATAAATACAAAAATGTAATTACTTTCTTAACAGTTGTGGTATTAATTAATTATTAAATTTATTCTTATTAATCGAACGCTGCTATTTAATACAACAAAACAAAACTTTCTGGGGCATGCGCAATTTATCCAAAACCAAATGCTTACGTTTAGAATGGGATGCTTTAGTTGATTCACATAAGATAAATATTGGGAAATTCCGAAGAACGGTCACATTATAAAAACTGTTAATGATTTTGATACAGCAGCCGAGTGCGCATCCAGATACGAGTTGAAAAAAAATTGCTCCAAAAATCGGAAGCTTCGCCAATAACTGGCCAATAAACGGCTGGAGGTGCTCCAACAATGGATGTCTAGTAGAAAATATCTGCAATAACCGCAATAATGGTAAATCACCCCATTAATTAAATCGTAATAACTGAAAACCCTTTTAGTTTTTTATGTTTATTTCTGTTAAACATAGGTCAATATAAGAAAGCCTAGGAAAACTAGAAGTTAATTATTGATGTGATAGCACATAATGGACCTAACAGAAACAATGAAGAACGTATTAACGAAAGGTCTTCAGCAAGCTTCAGTCAACGAACTGTCTGGCTCTTCAAATATGAACTTCCCTGGACAGAGTTATGTTACAGAGAAGTTATACATGCTTTTACAGCTTTATTTGCAGAATAAGGGATGGAACACTTCTGTTGAACTTTTACAATGTTTTTCTGAATTAAAAGAATCTTCTATGTTGCCCAGTGGAGCATATTTACAGTAAGTTAATAAGTAAGATGTTTTATATCAATGTTTTACTTTGAGGATAATAATCCCAAACTAATTTCTACCATTTCAAATTCTTGTTTATATAAATAAAGGTATAAATAATATGTTTTCTTTAGAATGATGGCTTCTAGAGTTACTTTAGACTCTCAGGGTCGTTTAATTTTGAGGGAAAATGGAAAAATTATCTTACCTTTTGAACATTTTGCTAATGCTGTTATGTTAAAACATATGAATGGACCGCATGGGTTACATTTGGGGGTTGAAGCTACTGTAAGAGCAGTAAGTAATTTTTTTTACCTACATAAATATTCTCAAATATTCCTATGTATGTAAACTAATTGTTTTAAATACATTTTTAAATGGAGTTAACTTGAATTCAAGGTAACATATTGACAGTGTAATAATGTTATCGTTTAAAAAAGAATTTATTTTAAATTTTTTTGTTATCTTTAAAAAACTAAAAATAAAATTTCAAACAATACTAAAAAAAATTCAAAGTAAATTATCAATTTAGGTAATGGATTCTTATACAATTGGAAGAGAAAATTTTGGTATGGAAAAAGAATTTATAATGGAAGTAGTTCAAAATTGTCCAAACCCAGCTTGTAGATATTACAAAAACCAAATGGAACTAACTCAAAAAACCCTTCAACATTTAGCCACGCCAAGTTATATGGGCGAATCTCAATCAAACAATTCCGATATGCGTAGTAACAACTTCAATTCCGATTTTCCAATCCCAATCCCCCCACCGAATATTAATTCTTTAATGGGCCTACCGGTCGATTTAACCGGTCAAAATAACATGGAAACGAAACAAAATCAAATGCTTGAACGTCCAAAATCGGTAGCCCCAAATCAACAACAAATAGCCGCCGCTCTAATTCAACAACAAAATCGTGTGATTGCCCAGCAAAATTTGGATAAGTTAAATGCAAATTTGGAGAAACAAAGGCAACAGATGCAAATGCAACAACAAATGGATTTGAGTAAGAATCAGCAGCAAAAACATTTCGATTTACCAATGATGGAACATAAATTAAGCGATTTTTTGAGAGCAAATTTAGATAGTTTAGAAGGATTATCTTCAGCTAATAAAGATTTATTAGCTTTACATAATGGTGCATGGGCCACAAATAGTATGTCAAATACAAGTGATGATAAAAGAACTTCTGAGGGGGGACAAGAAAAAATTGTTCGAGCTTTTGCTGAGGTAATGAAAAATATGCAACGTATGAAGAGTTATGTACGCCCATCAATGTGTAAACCATACGGAAAACAATCAGAAGCACTTCAAAAAAGTAAGTTAAAAAAAACGATTTTTTAGTATCATTAAAATTTTTATTGGTTTCAAATTTTAAGTCATCTCAGCACATTTTTGGCAAATAGGTTTATCATTTTCCACTTGAAACATATCATCCGTAATGACGGCGTCGCATTTATAACATTTAAAGCATTCCGGGTGCCATTTTTCTCCTAAAGCGACGATAACTTTATCAGAAATCGGATGTCCACAAATTTTACACTTGTAACCGGCCTTTTCTAAATAACAAGTTTGGCAAACTGGTTTATTATCGAGTTCTAAAAATTCTTGCCCGCCTAGCGGAGCTCCACAATTCGAACATACAAAATGTTCGTGATGCCAATCATGTCCCATCGCTTTTAATATCGTATCGGTAATCGGTAAACCACACGTGAAACATCGTGGTGAAAAAAGTTCCGCAAAATCGTTAAAACAATAAGGTTTACCGTCTTTGACTTGAAATTTTTCGGTTATTGGTTTTCCGCATTGGGTGCAAACAAAACATTCTGGATGATAATCGTTTTTTAATGCGCTTATTACGGTTCCTACAATTTTTTTATTACATATAGCACAAATTACCATTGTATTATTAACAAATTAATTTTTCATGACAAATAAAGACAACGATTTTTATAATTTACATTTCTATCAAGAATTAATTGTTGGGATGAATTACAATTTGATAATGTCACAAATAATCTTTTTGACGTCTATCATTTTGTATATTTTGTAACTTTAAGTTCAATGTTTTTTCAATCCTGGCATCATCTTCTAAATTTCGTCTATCAGCTTCTTTCTTTATGATTTTTTTGGGATTCCTTACTTTTTCTGATTTCTGACCATCTGGTTTTTTGAGTAGTTTTCACTGGTTTTTTTTAGTTCTTGTGGTTGTAGGGTAGTCGAGAAAAAATATAGGACATATATGAAGTGCAAAAAATGTAATAATCCTCAAATACTTAAAAACGTTTCAATAATTTTATGAATGATTTTCAGCTGGAAATCCATAAAATGAATGTAAGGTTAAAACCAACAAATCTATACTCTGTTTTTAAATAAGGAGGAGTAAACGCGAAAGTCAGATTTACACTAGGAAAAATCACCAGAAAATATCACTAGATATTTTGGCGGTAAATTTAAATTAATAATTATTATTATTTATTTATTTACTTATTATTGTATTTATTTTCGTTTGTTATCGTCAACACTAAACATACAAATTAACATTGAAGTTATGAGTGTATTTATTTCAAAATATAATAAAGAAGGGTTTAAGAACACAAAATTTACAATAATGACACGAAACTGTCGAATTGTCAATAACCTAACCTTCAAATTCAAAATTAAAATTGCCTGTGTGTGAACCTTCCTCGCATTCAACCAATCACGTGCAAGGTCAATCTGGTGACAAATTTAAAATACTCCTCCTGGTTTAAAAACAGAGTATAATTGCCAAAGAAAACTTCAAGGTATAATTAATGTTTGTAAACAAAACTAACCTTACCTAACATTCAGCGTCTGAAGACACAGGGCTAAACCCGAAACTTAAAAATATACAACTTAGCGCTGAATAACAATTAAAACTAGAACTAACACTTGCACTAGAACTATACTCTGTTTTTAAACCAGGAGGAGTAAACGCGAAAGTCAGATTTACACTGGGAAAAATCACCAGAAAATATCACTAGATATTTTGGCGGTAAATTTAAATTAATAATTATTATTTATTTATTTACTTATTATTGTATTTATTTTCGTTTGTTATCGTCAACACTATACATACAAATTAACATTGAAGTTATGAGTGTATTTATTTCAAAATATAATAAAAAAGGGTTTAAGAACACAAAATATACAATAATGACACGAAACTGTCGAATTATCAATTACCTAACCTTCAAATTCAAAATTGCCTGTGTGTGAACCTTCCTCGCATTCAACCAATCATGTGCAAGGTCAATCTGGTGACAAATTTAAAATACTCCTCCTGGTTTAAAAACAGAGTATAGTGAATGGAAGTTATTACATTATAATTAATTATATAAAAGAGAGGCTTGTTTATAGGCTTTTATTTGTTGTCAATTTTATTATCAGTAACTGCATGGTTTTCCTGCAGTGTAGAAAGCATTGTTATGTCGAGACGAGTTTTCAATGTTTATGATATATAGTTCATTTTCTTTCTATAATACCTGCCAAATTGTTGTAAAGTTGGCAAAATTAACAGGGAGTTTTGTTTTATCATGTTTTGAAATAAATATGTCACACTGACGTTTCAGCTTTCGTTATTCAAAAAGAAAAGGTGCATAAAAAAATGTTGTGGGGTGTTTATTTGCCATTTATTTACCTAGAAAAGGTGTTTTGTTCTATTTAATTACCTTGTAGCACGTTTTTACATCAAATATGTACTTCGTTAAAATTGTATTTATCTAAAAATTTATTAGTATTTTAACCTAGTAACTATTTAGTTACTGAAAATGTTACTAAAAATCAGGAAAACAACATACATTTTATAAGGGTCTTAGATAATACTAACAGAAACCCTAAAAAATTTACATTGACAAGTATTATAGAAAAAAAAAACGAACTAAATGTAAGCTTTCCTTTTTTTTGCAAATGTAAATTGTCCACAATGTGTTACTTTGATCTGTAATTTTTAATGTTTATTATAGTAAATTTGATTACATAAGAACTTGTTATACGAGCTACAATTCATTCAGAAACGGGAATATTTTAAATTATTCACGCGTAATTATTAATTTTCCAAGTATATTTTTTGATTTTTTTTTTGTAAATCCGTGTTACTTCTTGTTATTGTCGGAATGCTACTTGAAACTTATCGTACACTTATCCCCCGATTTGCGCGGAAGGTAAGTTCTGGACAAAACCGTGTTAATCGAATTCTTGGATTTTGCTAAGTAAAATCGTGTAAAACGAAAAAAAAAACCCACAATATGCATAATTCAGTCATTTATTTAAGTAAAACAAAAGTAAGACATCCTGGAAAACTCAAAATTGTACTTAGTTCATAAAACAACAAACATATGAAAGTAATATAAGTACATAAAATTAAAAAACTAAAAGACCCTTAAAAATTAATTATAAGTTTAATTACTATCATCACTTTTATGAACTATCAATCTTTTCTTTCTGATAAGTATGATGTCACTCTCATCACTTGCTTTTTTGATGCGATTCTGGCTCAATGGTTGACGAATTAGGAAAGATGTCGGGTTGATAAGACTTTGTCATGAAATAACAATTGCGTAGATTTTTTGATAAATCATTATAGACTTCTTCATATTGATTTAAGCATTTACGAAGGTCTCGCTGGAATCGGGAAGCTCGATCAAAATTTGTGTCATATTGTATGAAATGGTTGCCCAATTTTCTTCCCAATTCATGTCCTACACTTATGATTCTTGCTGTGAACGCAACTGGTTCAGGTTACTCTTCCTCTGAATCATTGTCTTCATCATGTTTGTTTGTTTCATAAATCATGTTAATTAAATCATCTTCATTCAGTTCTTCATCAGCTATTATTTCTTTAATATCTGCCTCAGCTAAATCTTCAAAACCTTCTCCTGCTATGGTATGAGCCAACTCGGTGATCTGCGAATATTCATGCTTTATTGGTGATTTATCATTTTCACTTTCAACAACATCCGGTCATATTGCTTTCCAGCAGGCGTTGATCATTGATTATTTGATCTGAGTGTGAAAGTCCAACATGCTTAACACAATCTAAAATTGCAAATTCCATCAGAGTAAGAGATTCAACATTCTCTATTTGTTCGAAGATAAACCTGAAAGTTTGCTTGATGTACAGGGTGGTTCATATTCGATGTCCCAATAGGCTATCTCGGAAACTATAAGAGTTAGGAAAAAAGTAGCTTACATTTCTCGATCTCTTTTATTTAAATAAACTTCAATGTCGAAAACCTCAAAGCGCTATCGTCTTTTGTTTTCCCCCTAGAGGCCAAAATTGAAAATATCAGCAAGTGCAATTATCTTGGTTATTATTATAGGCGTTGAAAGACCTTGTTGTTGAAAGACCCTTTGATCTAACGGCTGTAATAAAGAAGTTGTATTCTCCGGTCAAAAAACCACCTTTACATTTTCGTGTTGTAAATCTGGTGGATGACCTGGAGCATTATCAATTAATAGAAGAGCCTTAAACGGTAATCTCTTATTAGTTAAATAATTTTTGACATCAGGAAGAAAGAAGTTATGGTATCATTCATTGAAAGCTATGGCAGTGACCCATGCTTTTTTATTAGCCATCCAATAGACGGGAAGGTTTTTGATGTTTATTCCTTTGAATGAGTGGTGATTCTGATTTGTTAATCATTAATGGTTTCATCATATAATCGCCTGAAGCATTGCAACAGAAAAGAACTGTTGTATTACTTTATGACCACTAGCTGATTTGTGAGCTTTGGAATAGCACTGCAATTCGCAGTCGACCTTAGTTTCCTTCAATTTTAGCTTCTATACTTTTCTATCTCTTGTTTCTCTCTTCGAATTTCTGCATACTAACAATTTTTTTGCATCAATATCTAACGTCTCCTCCCATCTTTTCTCTGGCCTTACTTTTGATCTCACTCCTTGCATTGTTTTAAACCTTCTCCTCCTATGGAATGGGCCAAATGAGTGATCTGCGAATATTCATACCCTATTGGTGATTCAATCATTTTCACTTTCAACAACATCTGGCTATACTGCTTTCCAGCAGGCGTAGATCGTTATTTGTTTAACCTGAGTGTATGAAAGTTTAACACACTCAAGACAAGCATCCATCTGAGTAAGAGATTTATCATTCTCCATTTGTTCGAAGATAAACCTAAAAGTTTGCTTGATGTACAGTGCTTTAAAAGTTGAAATGACTCCTTGATCTAACGGCTGTAATTAGGAAGTTGTATTCAAAACAACATTTACATTTTCGTGATGTAAATTTGGTGGATGACCTAGAGCATTATCAATTAATAGAAGAGCTTTAAACGGCAATCGCTTATTAGTTAAATAATTTTCGATATCAGTAACAAAGAAGTTATGGAACCATTCATTGAAAGCTATGACAGTGACCCATGCTTTTTTATTAGCCATCCAATCGACGGGAAGATTTTTGATGTTTATTCCTTTGAATGAGCATGGTGATTTTGATTTGTTAATCACCAATGGTTTCATCATATAATAGCAAGAAGCTTTGCAACAGAAAATAACTGCTATACGACTTTTCGCTACTTTATGACCACTATTTGATTTGTGACCTTTGGCATAGCACTGCAAATCGCAGTCGAAGCTTAGTTTCCTTCAATTTTAGCTTCTATACTTTTCTATCTCTTGTTTCTTCTAATTTCTGCATACTAGCAATTTTTTGCATCAATATCAATCGTCTCCTCCCATCTTTTCTCTGGCCTTACTTTTGGTCTCACTTCTTGCATTGTTTTATTTATTCCTCTTCTCATATATTTTTAACCAACACATGACGCTTAAACAATTTCTTTCTGGTCTGTTTGTTTTTGGGAGTCCATCTTTGACTATCCATGGTAGTCTTGAGGCTTCCACACTCTCAACATGCTCTCTCCATTCTCGTCTTCTTATGCGAGCTCATCTCACAATGTCTTGGTCATTTCTTTTATGGCGTATTCTATTGGTGACCTTAACCTTAAACAGCTCCACTGTTAAGATTGTTAGATTTTTTTTGTGGCAGAATTTTCTGCTTTTGTCTCTGTTACGTATGGCATAACTCTTGTATATGCCGACGTTGCTTTGCCATTTTATGTCCTGATACCAACCTGATACCAAAGCTCCTTTCGTTGTTTGAGCTATAACTTCTTCCTGGAGGTTCCTTCTGCTCGTAATATTGATGGCAAGATATTTAAAACTCATTACTTATAGGCTTATTATGCTCATCATTATTGTGTTCATCTGGAAATATCTGGAAATCGAGGTAGCTTTATGTGTATTCTTATGTGAGACTTATGTTGAACTGATAACCATATTCCTGCTTGTAGTAAAAGAAGGTTCGTAATAATTTTTTTTCTGGCAATGTGTTGGTAGCCCATGGACCAACCCTTCTCCTTTATCTGGGCTTTGGTGTAGCAGTGACAGTTACTAAACTACTGAATCTACCCAGCAAGATGCCCCAGGCGGAAACTTCTCAGATTGGGCTTTGCTAAAGTTTGAAGAAAATCCTGAATTTCATTGAAAAATCATCTTTGTCAATAAAAGTATGCATCCAATACTAAAATAAAAATAAAATAACGGTGTCATTTTAGTCTCTAAAGAAATAACTTTTCTTTTCATTCGATTTTTCTTCAAATCCTTTGACATTATAGAACCTTAAAAACTTTTTAAACTTGATNCAGTAACAAAGAAGTTATGGAACCATTCATTGAAAGCTATGACAGTGACCCATGCTTTTTTATTAGCCATCCAATCGACGGGAAGATTTTTGATGTTTATTCCTTTGAATGAGCATGGTGATTTTGATTTGTTAATCACCAATGGTTTCATCATATTATATTCATCATAATAGCAAGAAGCTTTGCAACAGAAAAGAACTGTTATACGATTTTTCGCTACTTTATGACCACTAGCTGATTTGTGAGCTTTGACATAGCACTGCAATTCGCAGTCGAACCTTAGGTTTTTTCAATTTTAGCTTCTATACTTTTCTATCTCTTATTTCTCTCTTCCAATTTCTGCATACTAGCAATTTTTTTTGATCAGTATCAATCGTCTCCTCCCATCTTTTTTTACTAAACTACTCAATCTATCCAGCAAGCTGCCCCAGGCGGAAACTTCTCAGATTGGGCTTTGCTAAAGTTTGAAGAAAATCCTGAATTTCATCGAAAAATCATCTTTGTCAATAAAAGTATGCATCCAATACATGGAAGGTTTTTGAATGAGCGTGGTGATTCTGTTTTGTTAATCCCCAATGGTTTCATTTTAGTCTCTAAAGAAATAACTTTTCTTTTCATTCGATTTTTCTTCAAATCCTTTGACATTATAGAACCTTAAAAACTTTTTAAACTTGATTCTGTCATGAATAATTATTCATTTCTACAATAAATGTAGCAAGATAATCTGGTAGAAAATGCAGATTTACAAGATTCGTTTTTTTATCTGTAGAATAAGTTTTAAATTATTTTTTAGTTCGCGATAGACTTCAAATTGATATTATGATTAGCTATATTACTTTTAAAATGCTGATATATTAAATGTTTTTTGTTTTCAGCTCTCATGGATACAATTCAACTAATACAATCGCTGAGAAGTTTTTTACCTCCACCACATATTCAAGTAAGTTCGTGGAAAAACGAAGATAAGCATCGTTTTGAAGAAACCTAAGCTTTAAAATCTTTTTATTATTTTTTAAAAGTTAAAAAAAATCTATTAAACGTAGGGCAGCTTTAACATGACAATGTATATGACATATCGCCGCGAGAAAGAAAATTTAACGGGCTAATAACGGATGTTTTACATGTAGAACTATTGTTCGTCTATATTGAAATTTATATTTATTTAGTCGTGTTTACAAAAAGGAAAAGAAATAATGGAAAATTATATTTTTTCGTTTAATTTTGTTTGTGATAAATTCGTACTTATTATTAATATTATTTGGTTTTTATTTAAATTTTAGTCGTGTGTAGGTACGTTTAGGTGCGAAAAAAGCAACTTTTTTTCTTAAAACTAAAAAAATTTTTTCTAGTCATTCTTATAACTGTTTTTTTAAAAATAATTTTACCTGTGATAATAATTGGCAAATCTTTTACCTTTATCTCTACTAATTCTTCTTATTCCTTAATTTCTTACTCATCGATTAGGAGATATACAGAATAATTAAAAGTTTCTTTTAATTTAATAAATGAAACACCCTGTTCCTGGAAGTATTTTTTTAAAATAATATTTAATTTTAGGGAGTATCACATCCAAAGAGAAAAAAAGCGTCAAGAATCAAGTCTGATGACGTAGATAGTACTGAGGAAGAAGCATAATGGAACCACATTTACACTAATTTAATTCTTTATTTATTTTTAAATTATTGTTGTTACTTTTATTTGTTTATTTCGTTCTTCCTATAGATATAATTGGCAAGTTTGATATTAACTTGTATGTATGCACAATCAGTATTAAGTTGAGATTAAGCCGAAATCTGTCCTAATACAGGGTGTTCCATTTTCAATTTTACATCGACTACGATGCTTTAAATTCAAAGTGGAATATTTTGAATCTCACGCACAAACAGCACAAAAAAAGAATTATTCTGTATATTTTTTTTGTTTTTAATTTAGTTTTAATTTAATTTTTTTTTTCGTAAAACATCACATTGTTTATTTTCGATTATTTTAGATCTGTGCACCAGCGTGCTAATTAAGACTGCTCTCGATTGCGTAATTTTGCCGTAATTTTGTATTTTTACGTTAGTTTTATATGTCTGACATCTCTCTCTCTCTTCGTAAGTGGGAAACGATAGTTGATACATGCTTCTAATATACTCTTGCCAATATTTGCAACTTGTGTAATCAGCTAAGCTTTAAGTAACTTTTTAAAAAATCGTTCGAATCTATTAATTTTTTTTGTGATTTTATATGTTGAAATTAATCTTTATTTCTCTCGTTCGTTGTTATGTTTATTAAATAACGAAATCTGTGCAATTATATAATTTAGTAAGTTTTAAGTTGGGTTTAGATTTTATTCCTTTACCTTTTCTAATCATATAAAATATTCACACTTTTAATATAAATACAGTAAACTTGGGGTAATCAAGGAGGGTTCTAATTGTTCTAGTTTTAGTTGTTATTCAATGCTAGATTATTGTATATTTTTATTGAATCTAAAGTAGAATTAACACTAGACCTAAAATTAGAAACATTCAAGTTTAGCTGTCTTAAGAGATGTATGGCTAAACCCGAATATTTCTAGTTCTAGTGTTAGTTCTAATGCTAGTGTAAATTCTAATGCTAGTATAACTAATCTATAAACAAGGGATATGGACTGTATACATATAAAAGAAAATCTTTAAGGTGCCATCTAGTGTTTAAGTTCCCAATTTTATTTTAAAACAGTTAGAAATTTCTAAAATTCATTTAGAATTCTTTTAAGTGGTTCAAATTGAATATTTATAAATGTAAATTATTATTTTTATGATAAAATTAAGTTAATTATTCCATAAATCTAGCGGTAGCTGTATAATAATTTAAATGTTTGTTATGTGTGCGTGTGTGTTAATCAAAAACTCGATTTTTTTATGTCTGGATGAGCTTGTTTTCCAATCCAACGAACTGTAGAACCTGCACAGTTGCGCGGCTATATATGGCATCCGCCACTAATTGTTTTGTTAAATATGACTTATCAAGATGGGAGTGTTCCACAATGGATTTAAAACGGGAGACACGTAGGTGCAGTTTCCTTTTTGGAGGGCGTCTGCCCCACATCCTTTATAAACAATTAACAATTGCGGTCAGAGGAGTTAACACAATTTAAATTTTCTTTCAAAATACAAAGAGGCTAAAAATTATTGTGCACACGCATGAAATATAAACATTTTTAACTTCCTTCCTAGGCGCATATTAAAAGTACAAATAAACGTGACGTGATTTGTAAAATGGGATCGGAACCGGGTTTTAATAAAATTCAGAGGACGTTTTTACGGCCATCGGATAACGTCAACTGGCGTTTTTATGTTTCCCTTCGGCAGCGTGTACAATAAAACGCATGACGGATGGCGTCCTAATCAAATTAACGGGAATGGTATTTCATTAGAGAGGTCCTTATTAAATCGGGGTGTACGGACGGATGCCTCGTCCCCTAAAGGCCAAAGGGAACTAATGAATATTTGTTGTACAAGGATCGAAAATGTTTCTTCCGGGTGCTTGCTCTTTATTGGACCACGCTTCGGAAAGGAATTTCATTTATTCCCCCCCAAGTGATTCATTGGTTCAACATCCCAAGAAATTTGAAACACAGAAATAAAATTACCGATATCAATATATTCGATTCAATTCAAGATTATTATCGCTGATTATAGTGAATTGGATTTGATATCATGTTTCCCAAGAGAAAGGATTGGATCGAAATTAAAAAATTCGATGATACAGACAGATGTTTGTCCATTCACAGATTGATCGAAATGCTTGCTGGAGTTTACTGACAGAAACCGTTAGCTAAGTAAGAAACCGGTTGCACATGAGATTGCAATAACAATGATTATTTGTTCTTGATTGTATTTGATATGTATCAATACTATTTGAATTAACGAGTGTTAAGTTGTTAATGAATATGTGATAACGTATGTTTAACCATATTAATTTAAATGAACACAAATTGTTTGATTATTCTGCAACTTGTCTTATATACCTTGGTATAATTTAATCTTCATCCACAGTAATGTAAAATTTTGTTGTAATTCATTGTTGTCCTTATTTGTACATTAATTACAATCTTTATTTTTTATGTTTAGGTTATAAAGCACATTTATCAAATATGAAGATACACGTAAAGGTTTATACAGACTTAAAAATTTGTCGAACGACGAACCAAACGGTGAAGATAACGGGATTTTAAACAAGATTAAAAACGCGTTATGGATTCTTGGGCAAACATTAAAAAAAATTTTGCGTGAACGTTTTTTACAATTAACTCATCAAATTTAGAGGAGGAACTCATTGAACAACTAAAAAGTGTAATTCAGAAATGGATACTTAGACTTCAGGCTTCAAAAGTCAATTAAAGAAAAGTTTAATCGCATTTAGTTGAGTGTGAGATTAGTAACTGTTGTTGACGAAAATATAAATCGACATCAACAAACTGATAAAACTTCAAAGTAACAACAATCTCATTAATTTTGTATTATCTATTGTTCTTTGTATTTATTTAGAAAATTCAAAAAAATATGTTTTTAATAGATGTGATGGTGAATTTTATTTTTAGATAAATAAAAGAGTTTATATTTGTTATGGAAGACTCAATATTAATTGCGGAAGATTAGATTCTGCTTAAAATATGCAATGGATTCTTTTTACAAAAATCACTTATTCCTGAAGAAAATTATTCTGTGTTTACAAGACACCAGATTGTCACACTGAGAAAAATGGATTAGAGGAGACTAAAAATATACTATAAGGTAATATAATATTTAATACGTATGTGATAGTGAGACGACATTGTACTGAAGCATATAAATATAATGAACAATCTATTTCTCTCAGTGCATTGCAGAAAATTAAATACTGCTTGCAAAAGACTGGAGACTTCTGATATAGACTAGATACTGCTAATGGAAGACTAGATACTGCTTGCCGAAGCCTAGATACTACTTGCAGAAGATTGGACACGACTTGAAAAAAGCGATACACTATTTGAACTTTCCGAAAACTACATATTGCTTAAAGAGAGCCGTATACTGCTTGCAGGGGATCTGATTCTGATCACAAATAACTAAATACTTCTTATAGACTACTAGGTATTGCTTGCGGAAGTCTACATGTTTACAAAACTCTAGATACTGATTGCAGAAAATTAAATACTGCTTGGAAAAGAATAGATACTTAATAAGAACTTAAACACCATTTGACGCTTGACAAAGACCATTCATCACTTAAGGAAAACCATATACCGCTCATATAAAATCTGTTTCTCATTGCAAAAGATTAAATACTCCTTAGAATCATCAGGTATGCTTTGCAGAAAGTTAGATACTGCTCTCAGAGGATTAGATAGTCTATATAATAGACTAGATATTACTTGCAAAATGCTACAGCTTGCGGAAGACTAGATGCTGTTTGAAGAAAGCAAAACACTAATTAATGCTTCTAAAAAACACATATTGCTGGTTGAAAATCATATTTTGCTTTCAAAAATCACATATTGCTGGTTAAAAATCATAGACTGCGTGCTAGACGTCTGATTCTCATGACTAAATACTCCTTATAGTACATTAGGCATTCTTTGACTAGATGCTACGTGCAAAATACTAGATATTGCTGGCAAAATACTGTATATTGCTTAGGAAAATGCTTCATTAAAAATTAAACACCTTTTGACGCTTGATGAAGGGCACACATCGTTTCTGGAAACGCATATACTGCTTCCAGGAGACCTGATTCTCATTGCAAAAGATTAAATACTCCTTAGTATCATTACGTATGCTTTGCAGAAGGGTAGATACTGCTCGCAGAGGATTGGATACTCCATATAATAGACTAGTTACAACTTGCATAATGCTAGATACTGCTTGCGGATGATTAAATGATGCTTGAAGAAAACAAAACACTAATTAATGCTTCCGAAAACCACATATTGCTGGTTGAAAATCATATATTGCATGCTGGAGATCTGATTCTCATCACAGATTACAAAATACTCCTTATACAACATTAGGCATTCTTTGAGTAGATACTACGTACAAAATACTAGATACTGCTGGCAAAATACTGTATATTGCTTAAAAAAATATTTAATTAAAAATTAAACACCATTTGATGCTTGACAAAGATCACACATCGCTTCTGAAAACCCATATACTGCTTGCAGGAGACCAAATTTTCATTGTAAAAGATTGAATATCCTTTACAGATCATTAAGTATTCTTTACGGAAGGCTAGATACTGTTAACAGAAGATTAGATACTCCTTATAATAGACTTGCTTAATATATATTTCTTAAAGATACTATTAATGTAGAAGATTAGACATTGCTTGCAGAAGACTAGATACTGCTTCAAAAGGAATAGATACTGCTTAAAAAATTACTTGAAGCTTGACGAAGACCATGTATTGTTTGCTGAGAACCATATACTAATTGATTCTCATTAAAAAAGATTAAATACGACTTATAGAACTTTACACTGCTAATCTGTGATAACAATCGACTTTTTACGCATTTGTGTATTGCATCATTATTATTATATTTTTCGATTGAACAGTTGAAAATGTTATGATGGAAGGCACACGTTCTGTTCGAGATGGTGTTGTGGAGATGTTCAGGAATAAAAGATTACTCAACC